GACACACACACACACACACACACACACACACACACAAACTAAATTAGCGTTCAAATCACCAAAGAAGCTACATGTGTCAATCACAAACATTCCCACATTTCTATTGCACAAGGCAGCATTTCATTTTTATTAGCTTATATTGTTGTGTTGTTGTGTTTTTCACCCTTGATACTGATATAATGATCTTTTTTCATATATATATTTTATCCCACTAAGTGGGATCAGCTACATGAATCCTTTTTCTCCATTGCGTCCTATTGAGTGTCATATTTTCATTTAATTCTAATAGATTAAGATCATTTTTTATACACTATGCCCAAGTCTTTTTAGCTCTACTCGTGCATTTCTTAACAAAGTCAAATTTAAAACATGACTCTCCTAACCGGATTATCAAATGATCGATGTTTAATGTAACCAAACAATCTCTAATTTTGTCTGTCACTAAAGCTACACCAACCATATCACTGATATATTCATTTCGCATCTTATCTCTAAGTTTCAAGCCACTCATCTGCATAAACATTCTTCTCATCTCAGCAACATTTAACTTTGTTTTATGATTCTCTTTTAAAGACCAACATTAAGGACTATAGAGCATTGTTGGTTTCACCACCATCTTATAAAAATTTCCTTTAAGCAGTACTTTTATATCACACACTAGGTTCAATACATCCTTCCACTTAAACCAACCAACTTGAATTTTACAAATAAAATCCCCATCTATATCACCATCACTTTGAATAATAGCTGAAGATATCTAATATATTCAAGTTTTTTAATGACTTGATTGCCTAAAGTTATAAAATGCTACTTATATGAGCGAACTTTTTCAGATGTTTAATAGAATTCAAAAGAAATGCTACCATAAATGCTACTTATTTGAGCAATGCAAAGGGTATTTACATGAGTTTTCCGAATTTTGAATTACGTCCGTTAAAGGACCCAGACCGAGTCTATAAGCAAACTATTGAATGTTGCCGCCACTACGCAAAAAGAGAAGAATTAATACAATTTATTGCTTACCATATTGGAGCTTTTTCTAGATTAAAATTTAAAATGTAAAATAGCAAGTTGGGAGGGTGGTTTCTTGCCCTCAGGTGGTATTCCTACTGGCATGATCAGAAGATAGATCCACCCTCACTAATAATTCCTATAACATTCACCCCTTCACAGCCCACGATTTTCGACTGAATAGATAACAGCTATCAGGGGTCTTATTTGTGGCTGATTTATAAGGATTATAGCTATTGTATTGAGTAGCTTTATTTTTAATTAAAGCCTGATATAATACTTTTTTTTTCATGCAAAGATGAGTTAATTTGTTCTCAAATTTTCACCTTAGAAAGCCGCCTTTTATAGGAGTCTAGTTTCAATCAATTAAGGCAATGCAAAATTCCACAACTTTGCCTCTATTCTTCTCTTTTACCTCTATTTTCTAAGTTGGTATTGGAAAAAGCTTTCGAGTTAATGAATGGCTAAAAACTACAGAAGTGTCCTAATAGGGTCAAGCAAAGATGGAGAGCAGATTGGCACTTCTTACACCATAACAAGCCACACCATCATTTCGACAGCCTCCGTAGAGCACTAACCTCTTCGAGTCACATAAAACAAACCAAATGGAAAGAACTTCCTCTAATGTTCTCGCTCAGTTCAAATAAAGAATAAAGAAAAAGAAAAGATTATATACCTAAAAGATACAGCCCATCAATCTAAAGATGGTGATGCATAAGTATTAGCTTGTTATCACACAATAGAAAGAGTCATAATTACTAGCACAATTTTCACTTTCTTTATCATTCAAGTATTCATAATTTCAAAGTACCTTATCATATTCAACACAAAATCACCACTACCCTAGCTGAGGCTATCTGTCTGCGGCTCGTTTGTGCCTCACCCACATCAAAGCACCGCGTCTCTGCCTCTGCATCTTTATCCTAGTCCATCTTTGTCCTTGCCACAGTCCTCTGCATGCGGCTCACCTGCACCTTGCTTGCATTCGCGTGAATCATTTCTTATCTGCATTCGCGTGAATCATTTCT